AAGAGCCTTTTCCTTGTAGACAGAGAATTCTTGCTGTGTTTTTACTTGGTATAATGGACAAACAAGCTCTTTTGGGCTGCTTTCAATAGAGCACTAATCACATTAGCAAGAGCTCCATTTTTATGGCCTAATCACATCCTAAATTCTCTATCTCTTAATACTATGGCATTTCGAATTAGGTTTCAACATATTAATTTTGGGGGACACAAACATTCAGATCATAGCAATATGTTACTCAGATAAATCTAGAAGGCCAAAGTCTGCAACTCTTACAAATTGTATATTTTAAAGGTAAAAGCCCTAATTCAGAGAACAATTGCAGTTCTACTATATAAATAATGCCTTATAATTTACTGCATATTGTCCTAAGCTTTTTATATGTTTAAACTAATTGAATTTTTATAACATCTCTGTGGGGTAGTTTCCAGAAACATTCTCATTTTACAGATGAAGAACTTGAGGCATAAGGAAGATTAATACTTGCTTCCGTTGTTAAATAGACAATGCAAAAATTCAAAACTGGGAATCTGGCTTTAGAACTCATACTCTTGACCACTGTGTTACACAGCGTATGTCAAAGGGGTAGATTATTTGAATGCATTTTGGAAAACGGCAGATTTCATAAGCATAAATAAGCAATTTAAATGGAGACATTTTAATTAAAATGTATTTTATTAACCCCTGGCAGGGAGGCAAGCTGAATCTATGCCTTAGCATCTTTTCTTTGGGGCCAAATTATTTTATTCTAATATGAACTACACATACCCCAATATAATCCTCCTTACTTGAAGCTCTAAATATTACGGTAACAGCAAAATTTCTTGGTTATTATGTTTAAGGAATGATATGGGGGAAAGAAAAGACAATGAAAAAGCAGTGCTGGCTTCTATGAGAAAAATTGCTCCTGATTATGTTCTCTTTTGGCTCTCCTTACCCACATCACTTTTGCTCTTTATTGCCACATATGGGGATTTTGATGTTTAGGTAAGAGGCTAATTAGAAGTCTATCTATAAATTATTGTTTAAAGTTAAGGAACAAGAGAAGTTTCTTCCTTCTTCTGTCAATCTCTCTCTTTCCCCTCTCTCCCTCTCTCTCTTGAAGAGTAAGAAACAAAGCCTCAAACTCCAGCATTAATAAAACTTGATGGTATCTGTAACCATAAAAAAATATGGAGGGGAAAGTAGAATTGTGCATGATTTAGCAGAAGCAATTTTTTAAAAGTCTAGGTATATAAGGAGGGTAACAGTAACAAGACATAAAATCATTTGTGATCATGCCATAGAAAAGCTTGGTAGTTGGAGACATTCCATATCGGAGAAGCTATACTTGTTGGAAATTTGTATAAGAAACAGTGACATTCCCCAGTTCTCTAATTTCACTCTATGACTTCTGACTGGTAACTCACAAAAGACAGCAACTGAACTAGAATATATCCAAACATGGAGATAGCAAGAAAAGGCATGAACAGTTAGAACGCTTGGTTTTAAGCAGGGAATTTCAGAGAACATCAGCATATTAACTAGTGTGACCCCTTTTGTCTTCGCCCTCTTTACCATTATACAAAAAGTCAGAAACAAAGCTTACAACCATGCAGGCAGGAGAGAAGAGAACTTTTATTTGTGAAGAAACCAAAGTGTCTCAAAGTGAGACATGATAAAATTTGAAGTCCCCCAAGTACAAAATGTATCTCATTGCCAGACTAATCACCCTCAGTAACCCCAGCAGTTGATAAGCCATGACTATTCAAAAAGGCCTTCAAATCAACTTTTCAGTTACTTACTCCTAAATGGGAATATATAGCCAGGAATCAACAGACATTTATGGAAAGCTTATAGCAAGAGATTGGAGATCATAACTAATAAACATATAATAGAAACTTAGAGAAAACAGACAATATGAGAAATTTTAAAAAAACCCTCTGCATGGAAAACCTAACTCACATTCTCTGTAAGATAACAGAATATAAATTGAGGCAGGGCTTGGTGACTCACGCCTATAATTCCAGCACTTTGGGAGGCCTAGCTGGGCGGATCATGAGGTCAGGAGACTGAGACCATCCTAGCCAACATGGTGAAACCCTGTCTCTACTAAAATACAAAAAATTAGCTGGATGTGGTGCCACGCGCCTATAATCTTTGCTATGCGGGAGGCTGAGGCAGGGGAATCACTTGAACCTAGGACGCAGAGGTTGCAGTGAGCCGAGATTATGTCACTGTACTCTAGCCTGGCGGCAGAGCAAGACTACATCTGAGAGAGAGAGAGAGATAGAGAGAGAGAGAGCGAGAGATAGACAGACCTTGACACAAAAGCACGATGTTGGAATAAAGGAACAATCAGAGAATAAGGAAAGCCTTTGGAAATTAAAAATATGATAGCTAAAACATAAAATGGTTGGGAGATATAATTAAAGAAGTTTCATAGGAAGTAAAGAGATTAACAAAGACAAGATTTAAAAACTGTGAATCAGTCTACTGGGTCCAATATCTGAAAAGTAAGTATTCCAGGGAAAAAAAAAAAAAAAGAAGCTATTGGGGAGAAAAATTACCAAAGATACTATGAGAAAAATTATCATACATGTAAAGTTTATTTTTCCATGTGAAATGTCTTAATGAGAGCACAATGAATAAACATTTCCAATAGCTATTGTGATAAAATTTTAGGGTACAGATGATAAATGGAACATTAATAAAAGTATCAGTGGAGAAAAAGTACATTTCAAAAAACAGGAATCACAATGAAATATGAGTGCTCAATAGCAATATCAAATACTAGAGGACAGCAGAACAATAGCATGAAACTTTTCTAAATAGAATTTGATAAGTGGTCAAACTACAAACACATACAAAAAAATAAATGGTCAGAGAGGAAAAGACTGAAAGCTTTCCTGTCTCTTGCATATCTTCTTAGAAAGCTCATAGAGAAGGGCCACTGCCATGGCAAGTATGTAGACTAAGAAACAGGGAGAAATGGATCTATGATGAAGTAGAGAAAACATAGCAGAAAACAAAAAGATTCCTTTTATAATAGACGTCTACAGAATGAAGATCCTGATTAGCTTATGAAAGAAGAAATGCTCCAGGGCAGAGGTCTTTATAAAACAAAAGGAATAAATATATTCTAAATAATTGGTTCATGCAGGAAATTATATAACTCAAAAATGGCAAATAAAAATATTAGGCAATTATTAATTCAAAGAAAATAGAAAGTCATGTGGGAAAATAGAAAGCAATTACAGACGTTAGTTGGCTACAGATTACAATAACACATACATTGATTACTGTTTCAAACAATTGAGAGGATGTGGGAAAAGGAGGAGTGCATAAGAGATAATATGTGTTTTCTATAATAAGAAGTTAATAGGAAAACAAACAAAATTGATACAGCATAATAGATCTTTGTTGTCAATCAGCTGTTTTCACCAGTCAGGAATGATAGATTCCATCTGGATCCACTAATAACATATTGACTGTGTTTCAATTGTAGAACAAATTTGTTGCTTCCTTCTTTTTTCTTTATGTTGACACCACTGGTCCTGAGCTGAACCTGCTCATTTTCTTTCATCATTTCCAGCATAAAAGCTGGTCTTAGACCAGAAATGGAGCTGTTTATCAAGTAATTAATATATATATATATATATATTTTTAGATGGAGTTTCACTCTTGTTACCCAGGCTGGAGTGCAATGGCGCAATTTCGGCTTACTGCAACCTCTGCCTCCTGGGTTCAAAAAATTCTCCTGCCTCAGCCTCCCGAGTAGCTGGGACTACAGGCGCGCCACCATGCCCAGCTAATTTTTATATTTTTAGTAGAGACAGGGTTTCACCATGTTGACCAGGTTGGTGTTGATCTCTTGGTCTCGTGATCCACCAGCCTTGGCCTCCCAAAGTGCTGGGATTATAGGCATGAGCCACCGTGCCCGGCCAATATATGTTTTTGATGTTGCCATAGACATTAAATTTTATACAAATTTCTCTATGTTATAGTCTGACAGATCTAGTCAAGAAGCTGTACATTTATTTGTCAGTCAACAGCATCTTAGATAGTTTGGGCATTTGTATGTATTAGTCAGGGTTCTCCAGAGGAAAAGAACCAATAAAGGAGAGTCAGAGTGAGAATGAGAGAGATTTATTATGAGGAACTGGCTTACAGAATTATAGACACTGAGAAGTTCCACAATCTGCCATCTGTAAACTGGAGACCCAGGAAAGCCAGCTGTGCAGTTTAGTCCCAATAGTTTTAGTCCAAGAACAGGAAAAGTCAAATGTTTCAGTTCAACACTTAGAAAGAATAAGGGGCAAA